ACTGAAAGTGAAGTTACAGATATTCCACAGGGCGAGGAGAGAAAGGAACAGAATTACCTTTGGCAGCTCCCAAAGATACATCTACAGCTTTGTTATAGGTGGCACAGTTTGGGAGATTGTGATCTTGATGGTTTATAACCAAAACATTTGGTAGTTCTGGTAGAACCGTAGATTGTTTTTGCCTTGAACTTGGAAGCATTGAGCCTACTGAACTGACACAACCTGTGAATATACAGTGAAATCAATGCAATTGAGCACTGATTTACTGTACAGATACACAGTTGACCAAGCTGTCTCAGATTCACACCTCATGTACTTCAGGACCAGTTTGTACATATCATACATGATACATCCTCAGATATGCATACAAAAATCTTCAAATGCTATCCAGACATACCTTCTGCATGGAAAAAATCTGGAGGCAAATTTGGACACATGGGATGTAAAGCTTAACTCAATCTGTATGTGACTATCAGTTCTGAGTACTACAGAGTAAGACCTGCTTAACAGAAGACTTGTTTACGTACCTCAATTAAGAACACATTTTAAAGTGATATGTTAGGCCAGCTCTTAGTATGAACGTAAGTAGCTTGGTGTAAGGTACTAGACAATTCATCATTCATTCATGATGTACATCATAAATATTTTTACTCCCAACATAACTATGTCTATACTTGCTGCTGTTTTTATTGTTTGGGAGGGTGGGGAGTGGGGGTGGTTTTTTGTTTGTTTGTTTTTATAACATTAATTGTGCTAGTTAAAATATTAGCTTTTTAGAATAACACATAGCAATTTAAAGTTTGGCTTTGGCCTTTTTGACATTAGCCTGTAAATATTTTATGCTAGAAGTAATGCCAAATATGTTCAAGTTTGCAGGACTGGGGTTTTATTTAGTTTTAATTAGCACTGAGCTGGTAAACAGCTTTTATAGTGAGTCTAGTTGGACGTCACTTTCTGAGCATCAAGTAGGCAAGCAGAAGGCCAAAAATAACAATAAAAGGATTCAGTCTGGGGTACATTCTCTTAGCACTCTTCATACAAGTGTTGTTCCTGCAGTGCCATTTTCTTTCACTTTGCTTATGACTACTGAAATCAGTTGATACCTTGCACACAATATTAAAAATCATTTTAGACCAACTTTTCAACAACACACTAATTCAGGAAGGCATGGTTCCTTAGATTTTTTTTTTCCCTGTATTTGCAATGAAATCATATATAGAATACATTTAGTATTTTTAATATAGTAACAAACATTTGCGGTTATTTGAGTGTGGAAAAAAGGTCAGGGCTACTCAGTTTGAAGTACCTGAAGGAGCAGTGGGGTTGTTCCAACAACCGACAGAATTTTAAAAGTATAATGAACAAGTTGAACAACATGTTGGGATTTGCATGTTAATTACACTTTATTCTTGGAAGCAGTTAAAAACAACATTTGTTTCAAAAAGAAAGGAAAAAAGCAGGAAATCTAAAAACACACACAGGATGAAAGAATTCCCCACTAGAAGAAATCCAAACGACACTTTTTGAAAGCAGGCCTAGAGAAGGAGTAAACTAAGTTTGAAATCTAAGAGAAACTAAGGACAGGACAAGAAGAGTGTTTGGGGGAAGGTGGAGAAATTGTTTTGGTTTTGTCTAATTTCTATAGTGAAAAATCTGTCAAAATCTAAAACAGGTAATTTGAAATCTGAGAATTCATTATCTTTATGAAGTTGCAGTTTATTCTTTTATTCTGCATTCTCGGTTGTCTTGCATTCCTGAGCAACTCTGTAGAAAAGACTCTACTAAAAACTCTCCTTTGAAATTGTACTTTGTAATCCTTTACCCCCTACCTATTTAGATTTATTGTATAATTTAGCACAAGCAATTTTAACTCAAAGAAAATAGTTTAGATGAAGTCAAGGAATGCAAATCCACAAGTTTTTCTAAATGCAAAATCAACACCTTTACAGCAAAAGTTTTTGTCAGAAAGGGTGGTTGTGAAAGTTCCAGCTTTAGCGTTATCTCAGCTATCAGACAAATATATTCTACATCTGCTTTTCTGACAAAACCAGAAACAGCAAACAAAGCGTAGTGCAAGCAGATTGGCATCAATATTCAAACCTTGGCCTGTTATATTTAGACATTTATGGGCTTTAGGTAGAGTAGACATGGCACTAATATTAAGGCTCCTAAGGCTTTCATCATAATCCTTTGACAACATTATAAACCTTGAAAACAAACATGAACCACTGAAGCTGAATACTTTTTTAAAGTTGACTCAGTAAAGACAGAGACTACAATGAGGAGGATAATGCAAATAGTTTGGCAACATTCAGCATAAAGCAATTAGGAAATGTTTAACAACTACAGATATTCCATGATTTAAAGAACTTGAATTTTAACAGCAATCTAAGCATAGGATCCAAAGGGGACCTTTTCCCATCTCCATGAAAGATTCACCTGTCCGACCAACCTAAGAATCCCAGAAGTGGTTTGTAACAGACACACTATTACTCCTAAATAATCTAAGAGTGTATCACACATTTCAAAGTTTAAGTCCTTCATGCTGATGTAAGCTAGCTGCTCAGAACTGAATATATGAAAGAGAAGCATAGTGTCCCTTACAGTCCTGCATTATTACAAGATGTTAGTAACTGACTTTCTGTCAGTAATCATTAGTGATAACATACCACAACTGTAAAAAAATTATAGCCAAGTCAACAGTGATCCTTCGGTATATTCACGGACTCCTGAATTCACAGTAGACAGATTTTTTCAACCACCACCTTCATGTAATGAATATTCAGGTCAACCAAGATGACTAATATATTACTGTTGTATTTGCCATTTGTTTGGAAAGAATCAGGAGTCATTTTCAATTTTATGTGTATATGAGCTTCAATTCATTTACACTAACAACTATATGAAAGTAATATTTAAGGAACCGTTATTATATTTCTTTCAGCTGAATTTGAAAGGTAGAGAGCATCTCCAACCATTATTTAAGATATCAAAAGAATTTCAATCAATTAAAGAAAAAGCAGCTACAGTAGCAACTCCTGGATGTTGCATGCTGACAATAACAGTAATAATGTTAATTATATCTGCAAACTTCTATGAACACTGGATCAAATCCAAGGTGTTGATTTGAAAGAAGGCTGCAGATTTACTGGAAATTTTGTAATATTTTACCCATTCAATAAACATGGATGAAAAACAAACCATATGCATCATATATATAATTATCGGGAAAACCGTCCTCACTCAGATACGTTACCCTAACTACAAAACTTTGGGCAACAACAACTTCAAAATTACTGTGTAGCATGGTTCTCACGAACACAAATGAGATCAGTTAAAAGGAGAAAGCACTGCTATTTCTTAGCCATTTTTGTTATAAATCACTCTTTAGCAGGCAACAGTAAAGTGCTTAAAGTGGTAGGGA